ATTAAATTTTATTTTTTTAATTTATAAATAATATTTATTTATTCTATAGGTAAGTCCATAATATAAATTAAAAGGGGAAAATCATAATATTAAAAAGTTTAAAAAAAATAAAAAGTAGATAAATTCTTATAATATTTAGAGGGTAAAATAGGTATTTGGCAATCCAAAATTTGGAAAATCTAGTTGAGTGACCTTGTGAATGCAATAGGTATAGTTCAGTGACTTTGTTGTTACAAACGAAAGTAAAGTAACTTTAGGAGATAATTTGGGTAGTTGAGTGACTATTTGAGTAATGAACTCCTTATAGCCAATTGCTGAATTTGGTTTATATAAGATACTGAATTTGAATGCTTCTATATATCATTTTGTTGTTTGAGCGCTTTCGTTCTTTCTTTACAGCTCTTTGGTCGCCCTCAATGGCTCACAGTTAGATGGCGATCACGTACATATGTAAACAAGGTGGTATTTTTTTCTTTATGTACCACAAAGTAATAGCAATTACAAATACTTGCTTTCTTGAGTGATTTGTTAAGCTTCTATCGTTCTTCTGAGTTATTTGATGGGTGTACGAAGCAGGTTAAGGAGGAGCTGGAGAAGAGAGGCTGCCAATTAAGGACTGGTTGTGAAGTAAATTCCATATCAACGAATGAAGAAGGTCCGGTTTGGTTCTAGCATTTTATATCCCTCTATTTTCTCATGTCTATTTTAAATCCCACAGTTAGGAACTACTCATGATTCTAACTGTAAAAGAAAGAGCATTTGCAGGTTGTACTGTAGCTTGCACTGATGGTTCCAAAGACGTATACGATGGATGCATAATGGCTTCACATGCACCAGATACTCTAAGGATGTTAGGCAAAGAGGCAACATACGATGAAACAAGAATACTTGGTGCTTTCCAATATGTTTATAGGTACTTTGGCCTTCCTTTTCTCATTCTTTTTTACTTTCTTTTCGGAAAAGTTCATCCTTAGACTGATACAGATGATGTAGTTTATCTTCCTCTCAGAAATGGCCATAAATGTATGCCCATGTTAGACAAGTAGTATCTGTTACTAGGGGAAACTATGGTCAACTAACAAGTCAACCGACTAAATTTCTAAGGTTAATATGGAAGTGTTTTCCGAAGGCAGAAATAAAGTTAGTAATATGATAAGATGTAGAGGCATGGCAAAGAAGAACTGGGGAGAGGTGATTAGGCAAGACATGACGTTACTTCAACTTACCGAGAACATGCCCCTTGATAGGAAGGTGTGGAGGTCGAGAATCAAGGTAGATGGCTAGTAGGTAGTCGAGAGTATTAGTGTTTAGTCCTGTTTTTTTTTTTTTTTTTAGTATTACCTGTTGTTCTTTTCGTTTCGATTTCTTACTATCTTGTTGTTGTTACTTCTTGGTGCAATTGTTCTTTTTCTTGTCTTTCGTGAGTCAAGGGTATATCGGAAACACCCTCTCTACCTTCAAGGTGGGGGGTAAGGTCTGCGTGCGCACTACCCTCCCCAGATCCCACTTGTGGGATTACACTTGAGTTTTTTGTTGTTGTAGTACTGCCTCTGAAATTAGTCAATGAATTTTACTCATGAACACCGCGTTAAGGGCAGAATATAATGTTGCAGAGAATGCATCTTCTTGATAAATTCTCTGAACTTCTTCTCTTGCTGCTTTATTTGAAAGAAGTGAGTTTGGTATTTTGAACCATAGTGGTACAAAGATTTTATGATGTCAAAATGAACACTCATTTCTATTCCTCTACGACAGTGATATTTACCTTCATTGTGACAAAACTTTCCTGCCTCGCAACCCAGCAGCATGGAGTGCATGGAATTTTCTTGGAACCATGAACAATAAAGTATGCGTAACATATTGGCTCAATATACTCCAGGTGTGCGATGCATCAGAACCATTTTAACATTCTTCAGCGGAAAAGTCTTTTCTCTTTTTAACTGTCCTCTTATCTTTGAAATGTATATACCTACAGAACCTTGGTGAGACAGAGAGGCCTTATTGTGTAACTCTTAATCCTCCTCACACACCAGAGCATATGCTGCTTAAGTGGACCACAGGCCACCCCGTACCCTCGGTTGCTGCATCAATAGCTTCATCCAAGCTAGATCAAATCCAAGGAAAGAGAGGAATATGGTTTTGTGGAGCATATCAAGGTATGAATCTTTTTCTATACAGAGTACGGAGTTGCCTCAAAATGGATGTTCCTTGTAGCCTCCTATAGTGCACAAAGTGTATAGCCGCTTTGGCTTTCACTGGTTTTGATGTTATATTTATTGCAAATACTTTCAGGCTATGGCTTCCATGAGGATGGACTAAAGGTAGAACCATTTCTGCTGACAAGCTTAATAGATTTTAACTTGAAGCATGAGACATGTTCCTAAGAGAACAGAAAATAATAATACACATTAACTTTTCAGCAAAAGGAGAAAGGAAATCCATAGCACAACACAATGTGTCGCTAATTATCTACTTCTCCTTCTCAGGCCGGTGCGATTGCTGCACAGGGTCTACTTAAGAGAAACTATAGTGTCCTGAACAACCCAAAACACATGGTACCTACCTGGCCAGAAACAGGAGCACGCCTCCTCGTTACTAGGTTCCTCAAGAGTTTCATCACCACAGGATGCATAATGTAAGTTACAATAGTTTCAGCTTGTAATGTTCTAATCCCAAAATGGTGTTATTTCTGTCCATCTACTTCCTCATCTTATAACATGTTATGATGCCAAAACTATTTTATTGAAGGAATCTCGTTTGCTTAAAATTTCCTGTTACTTTCTATTCTCAGATGTACTTAAAAACATAAACGAATCATGCATACATTGTTTTTAGACTAAATATTTTCTGTGCTCAGCTTATTAGAAGAAGGAGGCACGATGTTCACCTTCGAAGGAGCAGAGAATAAAAGCTCTCTCAAAGTTTCTCTTAGAGTTCATAGTCCACAGTTTTACTGGAAGGTAATTGAAGTTCTTTTTTTTTTCCTCTCCTACAATTCCTCAAGCCAATAAAAAGAAAATTTCAAAGAATTCCACAATATGGATAAATTCGTTGACATAAACTACTCTCTTACAGGTTGCAACTCAAGGTGACTTGGGCCTTGCTGATGCTTTTATTCAAGGGGATTTCTCTTTTGTCGATAAGAATGAAGGTCTTCTTAATCTTTTCATGGTGAGGAAATGACACTATTTCTATGTAAATAGCTATTTGTAGGTACTTGGCATCCTGAATTCTTTTACAGATTTTTGTTAACAACAGAGATTTGAAAGCATCAGTCACAAGGTCTAGTAAGAAAAGGTAAGTAGTTTATAGAAACTGAAATCAAGAAATTGCAACTTATGTTCGTACCTTAAAAGTTTTTTGCAACTTTGTTCTCCAGAGGCTGGTGGACACCACTGCTGTTTACAGCTGCAGTATCATCTGCAAAATATTTCATTCGGCACGTTTCAAATCAAAACACCCTGACTCAGGCTCGTCGGAACATCTCTCGTCACTATGACCTGGTAAATAACTTGTGTACTATATCACCCAAAGCACATACTGATGTCAAGATCACTAATGAAATTGAAATTCTCAATGCATATGGATTTTTGCCTGGTTTCTTGTAACTTTCTCATCATAAATAGGCCTATGGCTTCAAGTGCGAATTGATAAGTATATTTATTGCTTTTTTTTCAGAGTAATGAACTCTTCTCGCTATTTCTAGATGAGACAATGACATATTCATGTGCAATTTTTAAGGTAAGAGCTGAAATTTCAAATTTTGCAACTTCGCTGCTTTTATCTTATGCAAACAACATTTTCTGCTCCTTAATCTCATTCTTATGGTGATGTATTTTTCTTTTATACTTGTTCTAGAGTGAAGAGGAAGACCTGAAAGTTGCACAGGAGAGGAAAATTTCTCTTCTCATTGAAAAGGTAAGTCATCAACAAAGTAAATAATCCCTTATTTCGACATAATTTTCAAGCCTAACCTGATTCTGATTCTAATCTTTTTAGGCAAAAGTTAGCAAGGAACATCACATTTTAGAGATAGGATGTGGTTGGGGAAGTTTGGCTGTGGAAGTTGTTAAGCGAACAGGATGTAAATATACCGGTATCACTCTCTCTGAACAGCAACTGAAATATGCACAGATAAGAGTTCAGCAAGCAGGCCTTCAGGTATATAACTGAAAACATCTGTGGAAACTCAAGATGCACAGTTCTTTTGTGCTACTCTAAACTATCAAAAGATCGAAAACAAGCAAGGTCTAAAGTCAGGCTAGAGAAGTTACATCATACAAGAACATGCTTATATCGTCTAAGCACTTGAAGCCAATTTCGGAGAATTTTAATAAATACTGACTAAGTTCAATGAACTGTATTCACAGGATCGCATAACATTTCTCCTACTTGACTATCGCCAATTGCCAAATATGTCGAGATATGACAGGATTATATCATGGTAAGTTTTTGCCTACAAAAATTAGGTCATTTCCTATAACTCATTACCATCCAGTGTGATAACTGTACTAATAATCATTTCCAGTGAGATGTTAGAAGCCGTTGGTCATGAGTTTATGGAGGAATTCTTTACTTGCTGTGAATCTGCATTAGCAGAAGATGGCCTTCTTGTTTTGCAGGTAATGAATTAAAATGACCCTCAACACATTCCACTATTTTAACTATTTCCCTTCAATTTTTTATGCTGATTTTTCGCAATTGTTGGCTTTCCTTAGTTCATTTCAATACCAGACGAGAGGTATGACGAATACAGGCAGAGCTCAGACTTCATAAAAGAATATATATTCCCAGGTGGATGCTTGCCTGCACTAAGTCGAGTAACATCAGCTATGGCTGCTGCATCCAGACTATGGTAACAAAGATTTCATTTTGTGATTTTGCACATAACATGCTCTCTTATTAAAAATCATCTTGTTTTAAATCATTTGAAAAATGTTGTAATGCAGTGTAGAGCACCTAGAAGATATAGGAATTCATTACTATCAGACGCTGAGATGCTGGCGGAAGAACTTCCTGCAAAAACAAAGGTAAGTAAACCAAGATCAGTTCAATATTGGTTTCAACCTATTTCTTTCATGTATCATTTGTAGCTTGTTCAAAAGTAATAGATCATTTCTAGAGTCTGATACTTGAGCATTAATAACTGTGTAACTAGCCAAATTCATGCTTTGGGATTCGACGACAAGTTCATCAGGACATGGGAGTATTACTTTGATTACTGTGCTGCTGGATTCAAAACGTGCACACTAGGAGATTATCAGGTATGGTGTGAATTCTTTGAATATAAGGGCAAAGAGTGCATAATGTATATATGTTTGTCGGACCAAGTATCAGTAGAGCTGGGGTAGAGGGAGCTGTAACGCAAAATCACTTCCTTCACATATGGATATGAGTTATTTTTCCCTCTTTGATGTTAATTTATGAGGCTCAAACACCGCGAAGTGGTCTAAAACATATTAGTTCTAATCAAATGGACCTTGATCTTCACTTTAGTAGATAGTTCCATGCAGCCATGCTACTATTCTGTATAAGAATCTAAGATCAAGTGACCATAACAACAACAAACCCTGTGTAATCCCGCAAATTTGGGTCAGGGGAGGGTAGTGTGTACGTAGACCTTACCCCTCCTTGAAAGTAGAAAGGTTGTTTCCGATAGAACCTCGGCCTAAGATCAAGTGACTATGAAATATATTGACTCTAAGTATACATCCCAAAAAAAGAAACTTTAGCTAAGAGCTTACTATAACTAATACAGGATATTTATTCTCATTCTTTACCAGAAATCTTGAAATTGCTTACCAAAGTTGTGAAGTAAAACTAATCAAGGTTGCTCCACATTTGTAGATTGTATTCTCAAGGCCAGGCAATGTTGCAGCATTTGGTAATCCTTATCATGGTGTACCTTCAACCTATTAGCATTTCTTCGTTTTCAAGATTGATCATACGCTCGTCTTTATAAAGGTTTGAGTTTGATTGTTTGTTGCTAAAGAGAAGAGTTCATTGTTTAGGTCCTACTATTGGTTGTTTTTCTTATCCATTATTGTAGATTAAGAACCTCCTTTTTGGAAATAGTTTACTTCCATTTCACTGCAACAAAAAACTAATCAAGCCATGATACAAGTGTCAAGCTAATTCTTCCTGTAATTCTCTCATATTGTATTTTTGTGAAACTGAGAATAAATCATTTTTTTATGTGGATCTCATTGCCTGCAAGTTGCAGCTTATTAAGCAATTTTTAATAGCCAATTCGAATAATTTACTATTATTTTATATTAGGTTATTCAATTTGGTAATTACAAAATTTTAGGAAAATTACGTGTGAATTTGATCAGACCCAAATGTGTGTAACAAACCCAAAGAAAAATGTTATCACTATACTTAGGGGCATTTGCATCTATACCCGCTTTTTGTGCCACATTTTAACCTGTGCCCGCTTTGCAAAAAAATTTGCAAGCGTACCCGCTTTTTCACATAACTTCAGCATGCGGGGCTGAAGTAGCAAAGGCAATCACACAAAACTTCAGCATTTTAGTAGCCGGGCCTGAAGTTCAGCTCTAGAGCTAAAGTTTTTGTTTTGTAACTCGCGAACTTCAGCTCTAGAGCTGAAGTTTTATTTTATAAGTTTTTGTTTAGTAACCGGAAACTTCAGCTCTAGAGCTGAAGTTTTTATTTATAAGTTTTTGTTTAGTAACCGGAAAACTTCAGCTCTAGAGCTGAAGTTTTTGTCTTTGTAACCGGAAAACTTCAGCTATAGAGCTGAAGTTATTTAGTTCATTGTATGTTTACTACCCCAAATAACACTCTTTTCATATAACTTCAGCTATTGTTCTATTTAATTACTACTAATTATTTCCCCACAAAGTACAGAACCTTCAATTTACTACATTATCAACAACTGTAGTATTCTACGCAAGGCAAAGAAGAAAGAAGAAGATGCATTCTGTGAAGGAGAAAGTAAGCAACGCAGTGGAGAAAGCAGCAGCAAGGACAAAGGAAGAGGTAAGCAACGCAGCGGAGAAAGGGAGCTGAAGTTTTTTAAAAAGTCGGTACAAGTTAAAAGTTTTAAAAAAAATGGGTATAGGTTAAATGAGGGCGACCAAATAGGACGCCCTGTGCAATTTCTACCTATACTTAAGTGGAAAAAGCTAGGGAGAAATTTCTAAATAGCCAGATTTACAAGTGATTATTCAAAAATAGCCACAGTTTCGAAAGTAATCAAAATTTAGCCACTTTCATGTAAAGATAAATCTGAACGAAAATATTGTTCAAAATCCGAAAAATACTCCAGCATATACTGGAAGTCCAGTATAATATTATACTGGAGTTCCAGTATAATATATCGGTCTAGCATAATATGTTGGAAGTTCATAAACAGATGCTCCAATCTCCAGTATATTATGCTGGAACGTTCCGCGTGTTGGGTTCCAGCATAATATGCTGAAAGTTCATACTTCATACACATGTGCACCGATCTCCAGTATATTATGCTGGAACTTTCCGTGTTGCAGCAAAATAATTACAATTTTTCAATGACTTTGCAAACGCTGGCTATTTGTGAATGACCAATCCGAAAAATGGCTAAACCGTGCTATTTTTACAAAAGCTGGAACACTTTTTCATCTTCTACTCTATATTGCTGCAGATATACGTGCATTTAATCCTCTTACTTTATATTACTGCAGAAATTCTCGGGTTCTCCAGGTGCACTTGAGGGCACGCCACTAGGCACCATATCGTTCTCTATTTCAGAGTTCAAGTTCATAGAGAAAATTGGATGAAAACAATCTTCACAAATTTCAAAATCTGGTTAAAGCTTTTATGCCTTTTCGTAGTTCTTTTCCAACTTTTTACATCTTGCTTTTTGGATGGAAAAAGGTATTGCTTTTAACACAAGATTGTGTCTATATTTTCCACTGTAAGGCCAAAGAATCTGAACAACCCAAGTGCCCAATTAAGCCATGCTAAAACTTCATGTGCAATAGCTTAATTCATTGATTCAGAGCTAACAAAATATTAAAAGTGATACTACTCCCTCTCAGCTTATGACAACCACCAAGAACAAAGAACACATGCTTGGAAGGAGAGGAAATTGCACAGGCAATGGAAAATACAAGGATGAGTAAAATGATAAGTAAACAAGCAACAAGAACATAGTTGTACTAAATAATCATCCCAAAACTTTTGCACCTCAGATGTCTTCATAAACTCTCAAAAAGAAATGGGGCAGAACAAGTGAGCAACTAGTAATTTTTTTTTTCGTTAGTTGGGTATTCAGGGAAAGGGAAGAACAAATAGAAGATGATCTGTTCCAAGTAGAAGAATATCGACATGTGGCCACTCACGAAGTACATCGACAAATGCTAGTACAAAACAAGAGATGGACGCACACCCAGATGTGTCAAATCTACCCATATAGACCGTAGATGGAAAAACACGCACCTACCTCAATCTAAGAGAAGAACTTAGCTCCTTTAGAGGCCAATCCGGGAGCTAAATTACCACATGATTCAAAAAAGGGAATATGCTCTTATTACACAAAGCAATCTCCAGTATAAAAAAGCTCAACTAACTAGCTACACCCTACAACCACAATCACATTCTAATTTGATGTAACAAGCAGCATACTACCAAGTTACCCTACTGAAATATGAAAATCCAGTAACCTGAGAAGCATGGAAGATGGAAAGTCGGAACATCTTACACTACTGGTCCTACTTACCAGTATAAAAAGCTCAACTAACTACAATTCACAGGCTGAATTCTAATTCTACGAGGCATACACTACTAATTTACCCTACTAATATAAGATGATGGATAAACACGAGAAGTAATGGTGGAAACTGGTAAGCGAAATCATCTAACACTAGTGACCTAAACCATGCTAATTTCTAACAACCATCTTGAGAAAGAAACCATTTAATTGACAAAAATTGTTCACCTAAAGAAGTTCTGCAAGTTAATAGTCAAGTACCTAATCAAATTATTGAGATACTAAAAGCCTAACTCTCCAATTCCAAAAGAGCCAATACGACGCTCAAAATCAGCTGGATGCAACATATACCACGTGGATGGCTGTTAGTCTTCACCCCTGCACAAATCACACAACTCAACAGCGCCTGCTTGGCCTTGGTCTGCCTCACCATGACAAGTTTCAGGACAATACCACATCAAACAAGCCAAACCCACAAGTAAAGTACCTTTCTTCACTAAACAACATCTCCAGCACCCAGGTCGTATTTTTCTCCGAGTGGACTGTTCATCACATTCAGTGTTCAGGCCTCTCCTCCTGTACAACACAAGGTCAAATACAGGGGGAAATGATTATGCCATTCTCAAAATTCAACTACCACTAACATTATCGCTAGCCATTACGTACTGATCTACCAAGTCTGCTACAACTGCTCTCCTATGAGTAAGTAGCACCACCATATCTCATGGTCCAACTACATCATGCAAAGAAAAATAGAAAGCGTTCTATTTTTCTTATTAACTGTTTCTTTTAAATGATATGTAAAATAGCACCATACCATCCTGCTTCAGAAGACAAAGGGTCAAAGCCACACTTCAAATATTAACTCCACAACCCATGGCTCAATCAAAAGGTAAACTCACGCAAGTTAACAAAAGCAAATATATATGTACACTACGAAAACAAATGAACCACATTAACTAATAAACATAACCATAAGCAAGCCAGATTAAGAATGCACTTAAACAACAATAACAGAAATAGGTAATACTAGTGACAATACTAGTTATTATAAACTAGAAAATAAGTACTGCAAACTACTAGGGGATTCAAGCAATCCAACCAGTCTCATTTAGCAGGTGACATCTCGCAAGAGCAGCACTATGCATGTGAAACGCAAAACTGACGCAATAACTCTCCAGTAAAAGGTGAAGTCTGAGACAAAAACGAATCATCTCATTCACTGCTGTTGGGCTTGCCGACTGGGGGCACCTCCATATCCACCACCATATCCAGCTTGGCCACCATGAGCTCCGTTTGGTGGAGCACCATAATTACCGGTACCCTGCGAGTTATCAGACCTCCATGCTGCATTCCCATAGCTAGAGTTTCCACTGGCATCACCATAGCCACCGCTCATGTAACCCCCAGCACCTGACTGCATGTCTCCTGCGGCACCACCTCCAACAGGTGAATTACCACTAGGAGCACCACTGGCACGTCCAACAGCCCCATAACCAGATGGATTTCCATAAGCACCATCATTTCCGGCATAACCGCCATAACCATAACCTTGATTCCCATATCCAGTGGTACCAGTTGGAGACTGACCAGATCCTCCACTAGCAGGCCCACCGCCACCACCAGCATTTGAAGCACCCCAAGGAGCATTACCATAGCCCACATTCCCATATCCAGAAGGAGCCTGAGAACCCCATGTGCTTCTTGGTCCACCCGCAGGACCACTTCCATAACCAGTACTGGGCGCATTTGGATTTCCATAGGCAGCAACTGCAGCAGCACCATAGCCAGGATTGGCGCTGCCATAGCCAGGATTGGCTCCACCATAACTTCCATAACCACCATAGCCCATACCATTGTTGGATGGTCCATAACCGTAACCTGGGGTACCATATCCAGATGAACCATATGGATAGCCACCTCCAGCATTTTGAGACTGCATGTACCTGTTCGAATCCATTCTGCTGTCATAAGAACTGGGATTGTTACCTGATGCACCATATCCCTGATAACTTCCGCCACCCATACCACTACCGCCTCCGCCGCCCATGGAACGGCCACCAGCACCAGGATTAGCATCTTTGGGAAGAGCACGCTTCACTTCTACTTGCTTTCCATTCAGATCATGAAAGGTCTTCTGTAAAACTCTATCTACTGCATCTTCAGAATCAAATGAAATGAAGCCAAACCCCCGAGGTCGGTTGGTCTGCTGGTCATACATAATTACTACATCAGTGACGCTACCAAAAGCTTCAAAATATTGCCTAAATCCATCCTCGGCCAAAGTGGGAGGCAATCCCCCAACAAAAATTTTCTTGGTCCTGGTATTTCCACCACCTCCAAAATTTCTGGCACTATTAGCATTTCCAGATTTTGAACCCTGCTGCTCCTCTCTCGACAAGGCCCTCTTAGCATCAACCTGTACAACAAATATGTCAGGTAAACCAACAATAAAGGTTTACATGAAAGACAAGCCCTCTCGCAAGATCAGCAAGAAATATCTTACAGCACTCAATAAAGCATACAATATAAGTCATAGTTGTATGACATAGAAAAGCTTTACAGAACCTTGTGAGATCTTGATAGGGTAAAATGAACGCAACAAAAGAACTAAAACAACCAACATACATGACATTTTTCGAAAATCTTGAAAACACCACAAACAATAAATCTCAAAGACAAGAGTCTATGAAAAAGCACTAAAACGCATATAAATCTAAGGGGGGGCATCAAATAAAAACCTTATCTTGAATAACACTATCAAGCCTAACTAAAACCCCACAAACAAAACCCTCGGGGGTCGGCCTGGTGGCAATAGACTTGAGCCTTGGGGTTTGCTCCCTTTCAAGGTCTCAAGTTCGAAACCCACTGGGTGCAAACAATTTTTGAGGGCCATAAGACTGGGTAAAACCTGAATTAACCGTGGTGCACTTGCGGGAAACTCCTTGCCGAGGGCCTGTGCACCCCCGGGATTAGTCGGGGCTCTTAGAGACGCGGACACCCGGTGCAAATCAAAAAAAAAACCACAAACAATTAATCTCACAAAAAGCACAAATGAAGCAGAAATATAAAGGTCCAAAACAGTACTTAAATGTCTATAAATCTAAGGGGAAAATCTCACCGTACGGCCATCAATAAAAAGTCTAACTTGAAGAACCCACAAACAATTAATCACAAGAAAACCAACGAAATACACTTACCCAGAACCCAAATTAGTTTTTTTAACCAAAAAAAGACACAAAGTAAGCAGACAAATAAAGGTCCAAAACAGTACATATCAATAAATCTAGGTCAAAAACCACAATGAAATACAGCTACCCAGAATCCAAATTAGTGTAAACAAAGCCCCCCAGTAAACGAAGCAGAAAATTAAAGTCTAAAACAGTACTTATAAATCTGAGAAATTAAAAAAGAAAAGAAAAGAATTGACTCACAGTACGGCCATCAATAACATGTTCATCTTGAAGAACCCTATCAAGAACATTAGGATCTGCAAAGACAACGAAACCAAAGCCACGTGGCTTGCCGGAAATCTTATCTCTCATAACAACAGTCTGCAAAACGTCGCCGTATCCTTGAAAATACTCCTTCAGTTTCTCCTCACTTGTCTCCCATGATATCCCTCCGATAAACAGCTTTCCTTGATCTGAATCCATTTTAGGGTTTCTGAGGAGTTGAAGAGAGACGCGGCCGACTTGAGGAAAGAGGAGAAAGACAAAGAAAATGAGGGTTAGAGAAGTGAAAAAGGGGAACTATGTTAGCGTACCAGGATTTAACGGTCCAGATTTAATGTGATGAAATGTGGTGATATTCGATTATTTTTATTAAGATATTTTTTTCTATAGTGTGTGACTATGTACTAACGTCACTATTCCATGCTTTGATTTTTTTGCCCTTTTTTTTTTCCTTACCCTATGCTCGTACTTCTTTTTTTTGGTGTAGTAACAAAAATATTACTTATGAGAACTGTATAGTTGTTGGAGCATTGCTCTTACTTATTCATTATGTCACATTGAGTTAATATTATACTTCGAAACTTTTTTAGAGAAAGTAGTTGTTAGTATGTTTGTCCAAAAAATTGCATTAGGAATTATTAGGCTATCAACAAACTTTTTGACGGTTCCTTTCTTTGCCAGTAGATCAGCCACTTAATTTTGTTCTCTATAGTTGTGGTTGATGATTAGATTTTTTGGTCTCCATCAATAACTTGCATTCACAAATCAAAGCGTCATAAGTTGAGTGGCCATTTTTTATCATCTTGATTACCTCAGTACTGTCAGCTGTAAATTCGAGATGTGTAAGATAGTTCTGATTAGTAATTTTAAGTCCTTGCATAATAACCAGCAACTCGTTAGAGTGTTAGTTGCATTAGGGATTCCTTTCATAAAGCTAATTCATTCCCCATTGCAATTCCTAAAGACCCTGTGCTCATATAGCCATACTCATAATGTTGATGATGTTGTGTAAAACTCGTTAAAACCACTATCTATGCATGTATTTTCAGCCTGGACTGATGAATCTTTTGCTTCTCGAGTGGTATCGAACAATGGGGAAAACATTTTCTAATAGAATTTTAAACTCGAAATCTCAATGGAAGGATCATATTCATCCAATCATAATGCTTGGTGATACTTTTTTTTCTTTATTTGTGTTTCCTGTCCTTTATTTTCTTGTTTGATTTGTTTCCTTTTGCATTTTTATATTTTTCAACCTCATATGTTTGCTTCTCTATAGAAATTTGTTCACGCGTGGGGGAGGCAGTATAAGTTTTTTAAATAAAATTAGGGGATGAGATGTTAGATTTAGAAGAGTAATAGTAGTGATTATTCATAGGTAATATAAAATGTTAAATTCGAATGACGAGTAAAGAAGCTTATATGTACCCAAAATAATTTACTGTATTGAATTACAAAATGTGTTAACAAACCACTTTAAAAAAAATTATTTATACTAATCGAGATATCATTCAAAATTTAGATGTGAAATTTTGTGTCTTGGTAATTAGGTTAACATTGAAATCGATTTAGTATTATAGCAAGTCTGAACTAAATTGACCGCTAGTCACAAAAACTAATAATTCAAAGCGGAAAAGAAATAAGAAAAATGAAAAACTAAATACTCGAAATCTATGCCCTTTTTTATCACAGGATAGGAAATAATTGCTAGTACTATATTTTTGCAGCATTAAATTAACGTAGATTGGCATTAATAGCACACAATGGTGATGAAAGTACTAAAATAGAAGTTGAACATTAACTCACACTTTTGTGGGAATAATTAAATCAATCGTCACTCGACAGCTCAAAGCTGACCGGTACAACCCGCGTGCTTGCCTACTCGTCTTTTACCGGCCTATTTGTACCCAGCTACAATTTCTTTCCTTATAAAAGAAAAAAGGGCCCCTCGACCAATCGATACTCGACAGCTCGAAAGCGGATCAGTACAAAACCATGTGATCTGTACTTGTTTACGTACTGATATCTCAAGTTCTTATAAATGATCTATTGACAAACCTGAATATATGTGTTACGTAGAAATGTTAAGCCAGATTAAAGGAATTGCATGATTAGTTACTTTTAATCGTGCTTAAGAGAAAAAATCACAACAGAATTACAAAAATAAAAGAGGAAATGAATAATTTAGAAATAGTACAAAAGCATATGAGTGGTAGCTATGTCATTGTTTTAGTATAAGGAATTTGGAGTTTTGTGCTACATGTCATTTTATTAGAATATTGGGTGATTATATTCTGATTTTGCAACATTTTCCAATTGCAAGGAATCAAAACTCTTTCCATTGTTTCTCATAAAATTCGACGCAATGTGTAAAATAGTGTATGGCGAATATCATAATTATGCAAAAAAGGAATATCTGTTAAGAAACTAAGCTAAAAGTAATAACATAAAACAAGAAAATAGATAAGAGATATAGAGAGAAAGAGAGGAGAGATTCTATTTCTTTCAAGTATTCAAGTGTGTACAATGTCATGTCCAAACCCTCTATTTATACGATGACATTGAGGTATACAAAGGGATATCATAAACATGGTATTAACTATTGAGATCATGGGGAAGATCATGGAGGAGGTTACAGAGTTATGGGAGTTACAACTATAATGGTGAAGAATAGTGGGATGTTAGTGGAGAAGAGTAGTGGGAGTAATTTCTTTAGGAGTTATAGACATCCACTACAAAATAATATTTCATAACACTCCCCCTTGGATGTCTATAGATAATGTGCCTCGTTAAAACCTTACTAAGAAAAAATTCTGTGGGAAAAAATCTTAGTGAAGGAAAAAGAGTACACATATCTTGTAATACGCATTATTTGCTGCCTCATTAAAAACCTTGCCAGAAAAAACCCAGTGGGATAAAATCTTAGCTAAGGGAAAAAGAGTACAGCGCGTATTTGCCTCCCCCTGATGAAACATCACTTTATTCTTCGGAGACAACGAATTCCAAGCTTGTATAACAACTTCTCTGATATTGAGATCTGCAATGTCTTGTGAAGAAGTTTGCCAAATTATCACTTGAACAAATTTGTTGAAGAACTTTGGTGAATGTGCTTTATTTTGACTCATTCGATAGTCTTCTTTCAATTGATATAAGCAAATAACATTATCTTCAGTATTATTGAAATCTTCTCTTCAAAGTCAAGTCACACGTGTGTTGTGTGTTGAGCCCTTTGTTTTATCAGTTGCTTATCTTGGCATGACTTGAATAAGTATCAACAATTAACTGCCTTGTAAAATGATAATACAACAGTACTCTCACATGCAAATAGAATGTTTGAAGAACGAACTTCAGGAAAATGCCTGCATTTGCATAACCAACAAAATCTTGGCAATATTTGTTAGAATAAACAAATCTACATCAAGTATTCCTTTCGAAATATAATACTAATTGTATTCCAATATCTCCACATTGGAATAAAACTATATCTTGCTAGCATATTGTTATACTCATGGTTCTAGCCAGATATATTAGTGTACCAATTGCACTAGACACAAAAATAAATCATGTACGCCATGATCGCTCTAATCTACATAAGGATCTGTCGAAGATTTATTTAATAAAATTCTTGGGAACCTTAATATGCTTCAGAACAATTTAAATCATTCAAGGATTTTCATTATATGCATATCAAATGTATTGTCAGACCAAAATCTGAAATGACTCCATTCCCCACAAGAGAACATGTCTCCTAATACCAGGATATTTACGAAAATTTTGTGCCACAACTCGTCTTTATGTCTATCGACTTGATTTTTCATTTCACTTTCAGGTGTGGGGACTATCCGTCCAACTTCACATTTTTCAGGTGAAGTCAACTTTCATTGCATATTTTTCATTTGGCCAATCATTTATCTGTCCAAATTCCATGACAGATTTGAGCTCAAGATCCTCGTCAATATTAATAATATTGAGCGCTACATTATATCAACAATATCGTCAATGATCATTTTACATCGGTTCCATCATCAATGAATAAAGACATAACTTATCGAGATCTCATTATTTTCAGGTACCTGAGCCTCTTCCATGAGGTCTTATAAAGTGTTATGTCATGGTGCTCTTATAAAGCACTTGCCTCCTTATTATGACCATCTTGAACATTTGCTCCTCTCCTTCTTCAAGGAGTTTTATCTTTGGAACCGATGAGTCTATTATGCTTCATGCGTCCCATAGACTATATCATGGACTTTATTCTATTTGGAGCATTAACAGCTGAAATATGACATTTAGCTTTGGGTCAGCAAATGCGCTTGGCATTATTTTGCAAATGAATTATCACTTGAACTTCAAGTTCACATTTTCTTGTACGAGGATCTAGGTGTACTCATAATAATTCATTCCATGTATTACTTTCAGCTGGTCATTTTTCTCCCCCTAATGCTGGAATCACCAACACACATCCCCAACTTTCTTTGGGGACCCATCTTTGTGCATTGTGGTGGGATAATTATATCATATCGCATATCCATATTTTTATATATAAATTATTTAGCTCTTGACCCTGAACCAATTGTGATAGGGAGAATTTATCATAACTTGTTGGCTAGATGCGTACAAATGCTATTGTATATTAAATAATATACCTCATACCAAATTTTGATTTGGGAGTTTTATTCTCATAACCGATGGTTTAGCTTAATTGAAGGCATACAATTTCTGCTAAACCAACTTTGATTTAAACCAGCATTATCAAAATAAATTATCATAATTTATATTCTGGAGCTGTGCTCTAATAACTTGCAAAAGCCAAATTGCAAGTTGATAACCAACGCACATGTGACCATACAATACATGCATCTATTAAAATCATATAATGGTAAACGGTCCACATGGCAGGTGACTAGGCCCATATATATATCACCTTTTATTCGTTCCAGATTTTAAGTGATTCAATCCCAACCTTGACTAGTATATCATGAGAATAAGCAGCACAAGAGAATTCTTGAAGAATCTTCTATTTCTTCAATATATACCAATGTGAATTCTCAATTAATTTTCGCGTCATAATTGAACCAGGATGGCCAACCAGTCGTGCCAACTAATATTTGTTTCAGTAAATATTTAATTTACTATGGCATGTGATTCCATCACCATGCTTATGCATTTGTAGTACAAATAGAAGAAAAATCGGGCAACCTTTCATATTTACCCGGTATGATTATAGTAACATGAAGATATTCAATCTTCCTTTCATTTATAGTCTCAATATGCCAACCACTTTGGCTAATATATTTGAAACTCAAAAAGTTCTTTTTTGAGACTTACTACCACC